ATATATATATATATATAATGAATTTATACACTGCTAGAAAAGTTTAGATTAAAAAAATGAATGTATACAATGCTAGAAAATTGTATATTACAAAAATGAATTTATACAATGCTAGAAAATTTTATATATTTAAAAAATGAATATATACAATGTTAGAAAATTTTAGATTAAATCTAAATTAAATTTTCTAGCATTGCATTATTCTTTTTTTTTTGTGTAAAATTTTTTAGCGTTGTATATAATCATTTTTTATATAAAATTTTTTAGCATTGCATAAATTCACTTGTTTACATCCAACATGTATTTGTAAAATTTAAAGAATTTTTATAAATCCCAGGCGCTGATGATGATCTCAATAAAGATCGAAACGTTGGCACGATAAAGAAAATGTTTTTGTAAAACCTCCGTCACACCAACCGCATCTCTCGATCTCCAAATAATCATTGACTAACAGTCACTAAACACCACACATTTAATAATAATGATAGAATATTTTTAGAAGGTTATTTTATATTAGAAAATTGTGTGCAAAGTGATAATATTGTTTGAATGGTTTTGCTTGTTAAGCACATGGCTTACGTGTGAAGAAGAAAAAAAAGAGAGTTGTAAGAATGGCCGGATCGAGGTGCTTTATCGACTTTCTGGCCAGGTTAACCTTCGTACCAGCCAAATTACACGACAGGAGAAGCTAACATTAACGTTTTTCTATATCAATGTGACAATTTGATAGAAGAAATTTTATTTTTTCCTGTAAACCAATGTTGGATTTCGGCTAGAAGGAAGTGGCTTACAACCCGGGGTTTTCGCGTAAAGAGCACCGCAAGTTCTGAGGAGGGTGGGCCGGAAAGAGCCCAAGGCAAGAGGGGAACGGCTAACTCAATTACGTCCGGGACCCCTTTGTAGTCCCTGGGATCTCCCTGTTAGCTCCTTACCTTCCCGCAGACAACAATAACGCCGAGTCGTTAAACTGAAAACAGGGATCGCAATTAGCCGTTGTTCCAAATAAAACAAAACCGCTTTTGCATTGCTTAAATTGGTTGTTGTTGAATTAAAACCTACAGACCTAGAGAAAAGCTAGCTGAAATGTTTAAAAAGTTGATTATTCGGAGATCGTGAGATGCGCTCTGGTATGACGTCGGTTTTAGAAAAACATTTGTTTTATCGTGCCAACGTTTCGATCTTTATTGAAATCATCTTCAGGCCTGGGATTTATAAATAGTCTTTAAATTTTACAAATACATGTAGGATGCAAAAAAATGAATTTATGCAATGCTAGAAAATTTTAGATTCCCCCAGGCCCTGAAGATGATCTCAATAAAGACCGAAACGTTGGCACGATGAAGAAAATGTTATTCTAAAACCTACGTCACACCAGACCGCACCTCACGATCTCCAAATAATCATCAAGTAACGGTCACTAAACACCACATTCCTACAAAAGTGTTTTTATTTATTTATTCTATAACTTATGAAAAAAATAAGGTTTTTAGGCCAAAGACGATTTTAAAAACAAAATAAGCTGATTCACGTTAATTGTTCAGTTTTTGAAATTTTAAATAGAATCTTTGGCTTTGGAGTTTCTGGATAGACAAAAGTTACAGCAAATAACGTAAAGTTCCTAAGTTTTTTCATATTAATAAACACGAAGTATTCAAATGCAGTAAACAAAAAATCTTTCAACTATTTCATTCTAACCAGACGAATCTGAATTCCGACAGTCAATCAAAATTCGTTTATGTTTTATCATATATGTCAATTTAGAAGGCCATGCATCAAATTTTTCTTCGCACTTCTTTTGTATGCGCAGTGAGACTATCGCCAAATTAACCGTAAAATCGATCATCATCGATCCGGTAAAATCACATTGTTTCCAAATGTGTCACGAATACAAACCATAAAAAGAAACCCATAAATTTTATTATATTTTTCATCAAAAGTCATTATTTGTCAAATAGATCTAGTTTATAATACTTAAAAACTTTGTCAAAACTAATATTACAATTAACCCAGGTGTTTTCTAATTTTTGAGTTGTACAACGTGTGTCTTCAAGTCTTTGTAAATTTTCACAAACCTGATACAATATGGCCGGATACGTTTTGCTCCCGATGGCCATTTGCATCGATTCCGTAATGTCTTTTTAGCGTGTAGAAAAGGTTAAATTGTAAACGAGAATAGACAATTGGTCTTTGAATAATAGTGAATAAGCAATATTTTACGCTGAAGTTTTTAGTATTATTTCGAGAATTTTTTAAGTTTTATGTGATAATGGAAACTTTTTTGTCTACTTTAATGCTCTAAGTTTGCTTATTTTTGCTTGTAGGTCTTTGAAACACGTTTCGGCTTTTTTGCCATCTTTTTATTTTGTGTTTTTATGTTGATTATTGTAAGATGCCAATGCTGTTTTGGTTGTTTCTTTTGTCTATATCATTTTTAGTGTTTTCATTTAGAATTTTTTGCTTTGAAACATATTAATATCTTTATAAATGTAGAAGTTTCTTGTTGTGAAATTTCTTTTTCTGTGTATTTTTTCATACCGTCAATATCAAAAATCGGTTATTTCTTGACTTTTACTGTATTTGCATGTTATAAAAGAAAAGTGGAAGAGAAAAAAAATTGAAAATGTACTAAATTACCTGTGTCCGGGATGGAAGCTGAAATTCGGCTAGCTAAGAAGCCACGGATGTTGGTGGCTATCCGGTTCGGGGAGGCGGTGACCGTGCCGAGAACACCCGAAATTCGGCTTCTCAGGCACTCCTCTTCACTCGTCCTGTTGTCCGTCGTGACCCGGTCTTTTAACTACTTTGTATGAGAGTCCGCCCCTTACTGTGCTCCTGCTCCTGTCGCCGCCGCCCCCGCCGCTCCGCCCCCAAAAGGACGCGCAGCCGCCTCCAGGCCCCGCCTCCGGAATAAACCTCGGCCAACCCCGCCGTATTGAACCGCATCATTCTCTTTACCGCCGCCCCGTTCATAATGATTTAACTAACCATTTATTCCTTTAAGTGTATCAATATCGCGTTGGGGGCGATGCCATTGTTTTATAATAGGCTCTGCTTTTGTTATTGGACCGGCATTAATCAAATTCGTGACATTGTTTGGAATTTGATTACTTTTCTGGGAATTTTGCGTTATGGGTTCATTCAAATTCCTTTCGTGTAACTCTCCAGTAACTCTCGATAAGAGCTGAAGATTTACGAATACGGCTCATTAGAATACACTACAAGCAAAAAATTCCACCCACCGATAATATAACTTGATTTGTACATATTTTTATATATTAATCGAAGTTTAACGTTTTTAAGTTTTAATAATTGAGTCTTTGTCTAAAAAAGTAAATAGCTAAGGGAAAAAAAGACGGACAGAAAAATTAGTTTTAATTAGATTTTTAATTAATATTTCAATATAGCGTATTTCCTCCTCTTGCCTTAATTACATCTCGAAGATGTATTCACAAAGGATTCCACTTGGGACAAAGTTACAAGAACTCTTTCTCATCTCTTAGCAAAAGCCAACATAAAAATCTTGCTGTCTGGCTAAAAATGGAAATGGCCTAATTGACCAAATTACTTCTTTTCATAATTAATTATTATTTTTATGTAAGGTGTTAGGTGATATGAAATTACGTGAAATATACGAAAAAACACTAACAGGCAAAAAATTCCGCCCACTTATAATATGAATTGTTTTGTACGTATTTTTATATATTAATCAAAATTTTATGTTTTTTAACGTTTAATAATTGAGTCTTTGTCTAAAAAAGTATATACCTAAGGGGAAAAACAGACGGACAGAAAAATTTGTGAAAAAAGGATTCCACTTAAGACAAAGTTCCTTTCACATCTCCTAGCAGAAGACAACATAAAAATCTTACTGCCTGGCCAAAAATGGAAATGGCTCCGACTTATGGAATGGCAAAATGATAAACAATATAAATTTGGAAATTTTGAAAAGTATAAATTTCTGTCATAAATAATCAAATAAATTTAATCCTTTAAAGTGAAAACTAAAATCATCAATCTTTAGTTTATCCCAGTCTCTACTGTTTAGATAATTACAAAGTTCAGAAGCTGAAAAATTAACTTTTTTTAAATATTTCATTCTATAAAGATTTTTTGTAAAGCATCTACTAGAGGCATGTTTCTTTTCCGTCTTCAAACCAAGTTTTAAAAAAAATCTGAATTCATTATTATACGAAAATTCATTAGGTTTAGTGGTCTAATTGACCAAATTATTCTTTGCTTAATTAATTATTCTTTTTATGTAAGATCTTGGTCGATATGGAATTACACGTAACATTGTACGAAAAACAACTGACAGGCAAACAACAAAGCAAAAGCCAACATAAAAATCTTGCTGTCTGGCTAAAAATGGAAATGGCTTCCTTTTGTGGAATGGCAAAATGATAAACAATATAAATTTGAGAATTTTTAAAAGTATACATTTCTATGTCATAAAGAATAAAATAAATTTAGTCCATTGAGGTGAAAACTAAAAACACCTTTCTTCAATTTATTCCGTCTCTACGGTTTAGATAATTAAAAAGTTCAGAGGCTGATAAATTAACTTTTTTTCACATATTTAATTCTATATGGCTTTTTTAAAAGTATCCAACAAAAGCATGTTTATTATCCGTGTTCAATCAAAGTTTAAAAAAATCCAAAAAATTAATTATTATAAGAAAATCCATTATGTTTAGTGGTGTAATTGACCAAATTACTTCTACGCTTAATTAATTATTCTTTTTATGTAAGGTTTTGGTTGACATAAAATTCCATTAAATATTATACGAAACAACACTGACAAGCAAAAAATTCCACCCATTAGTAATATGAATTGATTTGTACGTATTTTTTATATATTAATCAAAATGTCATGTTTTTTAACGTATGATAATTGAGTTTTTTCTAAAAAAGTAAATTGATAAGAAAAAACAGACTGACAGAAAAATTCGTGGCAAAAAAGGATTCCACTTAGGACAAAGTTCCAAGAACTCTTTTACATCTCCTAGCAGAAGACAACATAAAAATCTTGCTGTCTGGCTAAAAATGGAAATGTCTTCCTTTTATGGATTGGCAAAATGATAAACAATATAAATTTGAGAATTTTTAAAAGTATAAATTTCTATGATATGAAATTAAACATGATAAATTAAATTTTTTTAAAATATTTTATTCTATATGGCTTTTTTTTAAATTGTCTAACAAAAGCATGTTTATTATCCGTCTTCAATCAAAGTTTAAAAAAATACGAATTAAATATTACTCGAAAATCCATTATGTTTAGTGGTCTAGTCGACGAAATTACTTCTTTGCTTAATTAATTATTTTTTTAATGTAAGGTCTTGGTTGATATGAAATTACATGAAACATTGTACGAAAAAAACTGACAGGCAAACAATTCCACCCACTTGTAATATGAATTGATTTGTACGTATTTTTTATTTTTTAATCAATTTTTTTAAATTTTAACGTTTAATAATAGAGTCTTTCGTTTAACAAAGTATATTGCTAGGAAAAAAACAGTCGGACAGAAAAAATTGTGAAAAAAGGATTGCACTTAGGACAAAGTTCCAACATCTCTTTCTCATCTCTTAGCAAAAGCCAATATAAAAATCTTGCGGTCTAGCTAAAAATAGAAATGGCTTCCTCTTATGGAATGGCAAAATGATAAACAATATAAATTTGAAACGGTATAAATTTCTATGTCATAAAGAATAAAAATAAATTTAGTCCATTGAGGTGAAAACTAAAAACACCCATCTTCCATTTATCCCCAGTCTCTACGGTTTAGATAATTACAAAGTTCAGAAGCTGATAAATTAACTTTTTTTTAAAATATTTCATTCTATATAGCTTTTTTGTAAAGGATCTACTAGAGGCATGATTATTTTCCGTCTTCAAAAAAAGTTTTTAAAAAAAATCTGAATTCATTATTATACAAAAATTCATTATGTTTAGTGGTCTAATTGACCAAATTACTTCTATGCTTAATTAATTATTCTTTTTATGTAAGGTTTTGGTTGACATGAAATTACATTAAATATTATACGAAACAACACTGGCAGGCAAAAAATTCCACCCACTAGTAATATGAATTGATTTGTAAAGCTTTTTTGTAAAGCATCTACTAGAGACATGTTTATTTTCATTGAAAATTCATTATGTTTAGTGGTCTAATTGACCAAATAACTTCTTTTCTTAATTAATTATTCTTTTTATGTAAGGTCTTGATTGGTATAAAATTACATGAAATATTATACGAAAAAAACACTGTCAGGCAAAAAATTCCACCCACTTGTAATATGAATTTATTTTTACGTACTTTTTATATATTAATCAAAATGTCACGTTTTTTAACGTATAGTGATTGAGTCTTTTACTAAAAAAGTAAATTGATAAGAAAAAACAGAAAAATTCGCGGAAGAAAAAGGATTCCACTTAGGACAAGATCTCTTTCACATCTCCTAGCAGAAGACAACATAAAAATACTGCCTGGCTAAAAATGGAAATGGCTTTCTTTTATGGAATGGCAGAATGATAAACAATATAAATTTGAAAATTTTGAAAAGTATAAATTTTTAGGTCATAAAGAATCAAATAAATTTAGTCCTTTAGTGAAAACTAAAAACATCAATCTTCAATTTATCCCCAGTCTCTACTGTTTAGTTAATTACAAAGTTAAGAGTTTGATAAACTAATGTTTTATTAAATTATTTTATATGGCTTATTTTAAAGTATCTAACAAAGGCAAATCCGAATTAATTATATACAAAAATCCGTTATGTTTAAAGGTCTAATTGACCAAATTACTTTTTTTAATCAATTATTATTTTTATGTAAGGTCTTGGTTGATATGAAATTATATTAATTATCCGAAAATACACTGATAGGCAAAAAATTCCACCCACTTGTAATATAACTTGTTTTCTATGTATTTTTATTTATTGATCAAAATTTCAAGTTTTTTAACGTTTAGCAATTGAGTCTTTGTCTAAAAAATTTAATTGCTAAGGAAAAAATATACTGTGAACTGTGAGTGATACCCCCAAAAATTTATATATTTCAACTATTTCTTACATTTCATTTTTAAATTTCCACCTTCGTTTGAGCATAAATTTACGTTTATTGTTTTCAAAAATCATAATTTTTTATTTAGACTTATTAACTTTAGTTTTATTAAGTTTTTATTAATCATAATACATTTCTCAATATTCTATCATTATTTTGAAACACCAAAGGAGAAATTGTTCGTAATACTACATCATCAGCGTATATTAACTGTTTAATTTACCTGTTTTTGATTCTAACATCACCACCTAAAATTCCGATAGATCTTATATAAACAAAGCAAACAGCGACGGGCTTAGGATGCATCCTTGTCTTACTCCAGAAGACGTTTTACCATCCCAGATTGCAGATTTTGTCCCGGCAACTTCTTAATAAATTTATAGGATGCACCAAGATTACCCAATTTAAAAATTAGAGTATTCTGATCTACAGAGTCAAAGGCAGCGGAAAAATCGACCAAAAAGCTTGTTGTAAAGGTGTTGGGGTACTTTTAAAATCGAATCGTGTCATCGTTCGTATCTTTTTGTCATCGTTAATGTGAAGGCCGTTTTTTGATTCGCCGTTTTTATTTTATATTTTTATTGAGATTTGTAAAATGAACTCCAATCAAAAGGTTTTCAGTTAGATACAGATTAATAAAAGAAATATGTCGTGAATCCCAATTAACTTTTTAATTAACGCATTAAAACAAATTCCATTACCCGGGGTTTACGATTTTTCGACTTCTCCAAGTCATTATCCCGGTAATGGAGGTTTTACAGTAACTGGGACTT